CCCCAAAACCCCAAAACCCCAAAACCCCTCAAATCAGGAATAGTATTAAATTTGCGGAAGATATAATTTAGATTATTAAATAATCATTATCATCATTAAAATATGCCTCCCAAGAAGAAGGAAGAAGAAGTCAAGAAGGTCATCCTCGGAAGAGCCTCCAACACCCTCAGAATGGGTCTCGTCGGTCTGCCAAACGTCGGCAAGTCAACCACTTTCAACGTTCTCTCAAACTTGAGTGTTCCTGCTGAGAATTTCCCATTCTGCACAATTGACCCCAACTTGGCGAAGATCTACGTGCCTGATCAGAGATTCGAAAAGTTATGCGAGATCTATAGACCCAAGAGCAAAGTTCCAGCAACTCTTACTATTACCGACATCGCTGGTCTCGTGAAAGGAGCTTCAGAAGGTGCAGGTCTTGGAAATAATTTCCTATCACATATTGCAGCTGTAGATGGTATTTATCACGTAGTCAGAGGTTTTGAGGATGCTGATATCATTCATGAAGAGGGAGATGTCGATCCAATCAGAGATATGGAAATCATCTATGGAGAACTCATTGCCAAGGATGTCCAGAACCTTAAGAAAGCAATGGAAGAACTAGAGAAAGTTATTAAGAGAACCAACGCTAAGCCAGCTAGAGATGAGTATGAAGTTTTACAGAGAGTTGAAGCACTATTCAAAGATTTGAAATGCGTTAAGGATGGAGAATGGAGTGCAAAAGATATTGAATTCTTGAACATGCACTCTTTCATCACAGCCAAGCCAGTAGTGTATTTGATCAATATTAGCATTGAGGACTATGTTAAAAAGAAGAACAAGTATTTGCCAAAGATCAGCAAGTGGATCTCAGAGCACGGAGGTGGCCCAATGATTCCTTATTCAGCTGACTTTGAGACTAAGGTCACTTCAATGGGAACTGACCCAGAGGTCAGAAAGAAGGCTGCTGAAGAAATGGGATCCCCATCATGCATTTCTAGAATCATCAAGGTTGGATATACTACTCTTAGATTAATCCATTACTTCACTGCTGGAGAAGACGAGGTCAAGTGCTGGACCATCAGAGAGGGTACAAAGGCACCTCAAGCAGCTGGAGTTATCCACACAGACTTTGAGAGAGGATTTATTTGTGCTGAAATCATGAAGTACGACGATCTAGTGACTCTAGGATCAGAACAGAATGTTAAAGCTGAAGGCTTGTACAGATAGATGGGAAAAGATTACGAAGTACTTGATGGAGATATCATCTACTTCAAATTCAACGTCACTGCTCAACCCAAGAAGAAATGACCACTATTAACAATTAATTTTATTTGTTAACTATCTTAAAGAATTAAATGTGTCAAATATATTTATGTATTATCATTAAATGTTATTAAGAGACCTGAGCTTTCTTGATCTGTGAAGTAGCTTCTTTGCTTCTGCATTAATACTATTTCCTGAGTAGATAACTAAATCTGTAAGCATAGGGAAAGCATCACTTTCTGCTATGCATCTGCATCCATTCTCTCCGACCTTATTATGTATAATATTAAGGTATCTCAGCTGTGTCATGACTTGAGATACTGATATAATATGTGCTCCATTTTCAAGCAAATTATTGTGACTTATATCGAGATGAGTCAGGTTCTTGAATATTTCACTGCCACTCAAAGCAATTATACCCTCCTCCTTGATGTCGTTGTCATTTATTATCAAATGAGTAAGTTACTATAGATTGGTAGCATCAGCCAAGTAGTAAGCACCTTTCTCGGTCATATTGTTTTTACCTATACTGAGTAGTCTTAGCTTAGAGATAAACTTTGAGTTTGCCAAGTTTAAAGCTGATACTGCTTGCAAATTATTATCGTTAACATAGAGCTTGTGTAAGTTCGAAAGATAGCTAGCATCTGTTATGTGTTTGAAGCCATCATCACCTATCAAATTTTGACTTAGATCTAATACTGTCAGGTTTCTGATCGCATATGAAGTTGCTATGAAGTGGGCTCCTTTTGCCTCGCAAAGGTTAGACCGCATTTTTAAGACCTGAAGATTTTATAGGTTACAAATATGGCTCATTTACTGCACACCCTTTTCATCAATCTGATTCCTGTCTAGCTTGAGAGTGTTCAAATATTGATAATTCTGACTGAGCACTATAGCTTTAAATCCTTTATCACCTATCTTATTCACTCTCAGATCTAGTGATACTAATAACGGGAAATTCTCTGAATTTGCAATCAAGACTGCTCCATCAAATGTGATGTTATTACTAGACAAGTCGATCTTCTTTATGTGCCTTAATCTATCCTGAGAAAAGATAAATAGTACTCCATTATTCCCTAGGTTGTTCTTTGGTAATTTGAGGTATGTGAGATTCTGTAGCATGGATGTCTTTGTTATTGATTCGAGATTCTTCTAAACCAGCATTGCATCCTCGCAATTGAAAGTCTTTATATTGTCTTTGAGAGTAAAACTAGACAGCTTTTCAAACAGTTTGTCCTTCTTATCTTCTTCAAACAGAAAGTTCAAATTGATAGTAAGTCTTTTGACGTTCTTATAGTGGGTCAGAATCTCCTCGAAAAAGTTGTCCTTGAACTGGTTGAAGAAATTCAGACTCTCTCTGTTGATCTTTATCTCCTCGGCTCTTTCAAAGAACTTAACAGTTTTTAAGTTAATTTTATGCAGTTGGACTCTTCTAGCAGCATAGGCTCTTTTGCAAAGCACTAAGGCCTCTTTGTTTATTCTACGCAGAGTCTCAATGATCTCCTCTTGACTGAAAAACGACAGAATACAAATAGTTGGCCAGATGCCCAAATTATTGAAAATTCTCTTTTAACCCTTTCCCATCTTCTTAAATTCAACCTATCATATTTGAATGAGAAGAATAAATATACTTCATTTATTAGCTCTTCAATGTCGTATATTGAATGAGAAAAGATACAGTATGGACCAAATATACATTCGTGGCCTTGTAAGAAGTTTAGATTACAAAGTTGAGACTTAGGTTTGTTTAAATCCTATTTACAAGAATTAATAAAATTAGCTGAATCAAGTACCAGTGCTTATTTTTTGTAATTAGAGTCTTTGAAGTCTTAGTAAACATTACAGTCTCTGAGATACTCCTTGTAGGTGCATTGCCTCTCAGAATAATACGATTAAGAGCCTCCTGAATATGATGACTGCGATTAATAACTCATTTTATGTAATTTTAATAATTTACTGCTATTTTTTAAAATTATCTATTTATAATCAAAATTAGCTGAATTCTACTAATATACACACTCATACTCTCATTAAGCAAGATATTTTGACTTTATTTGCAATCACTCAGCATGGAGTATCCTAGCACAATCCAAATAATCATATAGGTTTGACACATATCCTCTATCATGACTCCAAGTATCTTTCTTCCATTCAGTCACTTTACTAAACTTGCCTAGTGTTTCTAGTTCCACTTTCTCTACTTGTCCATCATAGCTCATATATCCCATCTGCTGATTCATTTTACCGAATATCATACCTATGAAAATTAACAAAGTTTAAATTGTGTACCTTGAAATCCTTCAGGAATGTTAACTTCTCTGCCTATCATCTTCCTACCATGTAGCGAGACTTCCTTCACTTTATATAAACAATTTTAACTATTTATATTTCTTACTGTCAATGTCATCAACTTTGATTTGCTTTATAATTGGGTCAAAGTATATATCTTTATTGCACTCATCAATATTTTTCTAAAACTAGCATGGCAGAAATTCCATCTCCACTTCCTCAACTGGCTGTTTTGAATGCATATCTCTGAAATTGACTTAGAAACTTGATGGCTTCATTTTGATTTCTGATTATTCCGCTAAATTTATATTTATAATTCTAACTTATAGGCCTATAATACTATCAAGGGGTTTTGGGGTTTTGGGGTTTTGGGGTTTTGGGG